TGCCACAGGTCATTGGGGGGGGGGGGCACCAAGGGGCCCGGGGGGGGGGGGGCCCTCCAGGCCTCCTGCAGCTTTTCCGTGTCTCCCTGGTCCAACATGCCTCAGAGTAGGTCTGCAGAGTCCTGCTGATGACCTCATGATGTCACTCAGGTGTTGAAGCAGACCCATCTAACCCAGGGCTGGGCGATCCTGGTCCTGGAGGGCCAGAGTCCTGCAGCTCTTAGACGTCTCCCTGGTCCAACACACCTGGATCCAACAGCTGAATCTCCTCCTCAGTGCAGTCAGGTTCTGCTGAGTCCTGCTAACGACCCTCCAGGCCTGGAGCTTTGCTTAAATCTTTGCTGACGGTTCGACTGGCCGCTTCACTCCGGCTGATTCTGGTTTCAAACCCGATCTTATAATCTCACATGTTCTCAGACTATGGTGACGGTTTCCTGCTGCGTGTTCGGAGCGACCCGGTTCGCTCCAAAGTCTCATCGGATCGACTCGGCCCGACCTGCTGACAGTGTTGCATTATGGGACAGGAGAGGAGGAAGCTGGTCAAAGCGATATGAGAAAACTCAGCATCCTCATGGCGCTGTCCCATCATGCACTGCAGCAGCAAGTGGGTTAGAGCCAGAACCGAAACCAAGAGCTGATCCGTCTGCCAGTAGCACCAAACATCGAATTGACACGGTTAAAGCTGGCAGAGCCACTGCAGCAGAACAGGAAGTGGGCAGGCGCCAGGCAGGAAGTAAGCAAGCAGAGGCAGGAAGTGGGCAGGCATCAGGCAGGAAGTTTCCCCTCTGACCACAGCGACCCACCTGCGTCCTTAAAGGCCACCCTCATCTCCGGAGTGCTCATGGTTCCAGAGTTATCCGAGTCGTTCTGCTTGTAGATCGACTGCAGGAACAGCAAACACTGAGATTTCCCACAATTCCAATATCAAGAAAACAGCGGGTGTCAAAGGTCACAGCTCACCAGGTATTTCTGCACCTTCTTCCACAGCGTGGCGAATTCTCCAAGGCCCAGCTTGCCGTTGCCGCTGTCCTGCTGCAGGTTAAAGGTCACTCACAGGTGTTGGACAGGTGGGACCGCTGACCAATCAGCTGGCTGATCAGCTGACCAATCACAGATCATGTAAACGCATTTAAACTGGTTGGGTCCTCATAGACCCTCTGAGACCTGCTGAGGGTCCAGAGTTCCAGAACCAGAACCAGCGTGTTGCTCCAGAACCTCCTGACTATGGCTCCAGCCAATTCCCCGCCCCCTCACAGACCCCACCCCTCTTAATCCCGGTTCACATGCTCCGCCCCCCATGCGGTGAAGGATACATCCATCAGGTTGACCATGACCTTGCAGGTCTCCAGGCTGAATCCGTCTGTTTTGAT